ATTTTTGTGAGAAGCCTTTTGTGACGAGGCGAGCCTTGTACTTGTCCACCTTGCCGTCAGGATCATACTTCACTTTGTACACCCACTTACAGCCGATGGCTTTTCTTTCAGAAGGCAACTCAGTAAGAGTCCAAACTTGTTTGTCTTGTAAAGATGCAAATTCTTCTTCCATTGCTTCTATCCACTTGCTTCTTTCAGGTGCAGGTAGTTGATTGACTTCCTTCCAGTTATTAGGTTCCTTTATTGGCTGCACACTTGCACAAATTCCATACATCGGTGGTGGTACACCCTTGGTACTCCTTGCTGATTGTCTCACAGTGGTCGTCTCTCTTACCCTTGGCGTTGCCTCTTCTGGTTCCCCTTCTGAGCTGGAACTCTCTTGTGGAGATGGACTTGCCTGTTCACAGGTGGTCCCTGTAGGTTGCCAAGCGAACACGTCGAAGAAGGAGACATCTGTAGGTTCCTGAGTAGCAGGTTGCACTGTGGACTTAGTTGGCTTAGGAGTTTGTAGGATGTCGCTTTCATTAACATGTACCACATTGCATTCCCTAATTGTGCAGTTTTTAGGATCTAGGATTCTGTAGCCCTTTCCTCCAAGAGCGTATCCCACTAGGATACCAGGCTCTGCTCTTGGGTCAAGTTTGCCCCTTCTCTCTTTTGGAATGTGGGCATAGGCTTTAGATCCAAAGGTTCTTATGTGTTTAAGTCCAGGCACCCTATTATGCCATAATTCAAAAGGAATTTTATTTGTAGTTTTGGATGGAACTCTATTGTGCAGGTAAACAGCTGTATTGACTGCTTCACCCCACATATTTTCTGAAAGTCCAGATTCTATTAGCATAGAACGCGCCATTTCTTGGATGGTTCTGTTTAAGCGTTCAGAAGTTCCATTTTGTTGTGGAGAATAAGGAATTGTTGTTTTTATGTTCAATTCCTTCTTGTTCCATGAATCTTTGGAACTCACTGCTGCAGTACTCTGTGCCATTATCTGTGAATAGCACCTCTGGCGCTTTGCCAAATTTGTTTTTGACAGCAGCAACATAGCACTTAAACTTTTCAAGTACTTGATCTTTACTTTTAAGTAGGTATGTAAAGACATATCTGGATTTTGCTTCCATAAAAGTCACAAAATATTTGCTACCTCCAGCAGACTGTTTTAGTGGACCAACAAGATCTGAGTACACAGTCTCTAGAAATTTTGTATTTCATTCTGGAGATTTGCCCCTATAACTAGGAGCTGTACCTTTTGCTTTAAAGCAGGTTTCACAACCATTTTTCATAGCATCACATTCAACAGCATTGATATTACAGTCCTTCAAGAGCTTTTGTACACTTTGCACATTTCTATGAGCAAACATCACATGCCATTTATATAAACAGTCTTTGTGATCACATTCAGATGATTTTGTATGGAACACTGGCCCATTAGTGTCCATTTCATCATCATTGGCAATGGCAATGTTTCTTACATAGTGATAATTTTCATGTTCTTCAATCACTAGTTCAACACCATCTTTGTGCCATATTTTGCCTTGGCCCTGATCAAGATTAATTTTAAAACCAGTAGCAATGATTCTCCTTGTAGAGATCAGACAGACAGTTGCTTCAGGTACAAGAACACAGTCTCTCAGAGTCATTTGCTGAATCTGGCCACATGTATTTAAAACGTTCAATCTCACTGTCCCAGTTCCTGCAACATTTAATTCTTGACCATCAACCTTTTGCAGTTTGGGCTTTTTATCTTTATTCAAGTCAATAAAACATTCAGCATTGTTTGAAATGTGGACAGCACTTCCTGAATCCATCAACCATAAAGATTTAGCATCAGATTTCCTTCTATGATCAGACATTGCGAGCACATTTGCACATTGTTCTCCCTCTGCAGTATTTGAGTGCGTCTCTCTTAGAAAGAATACGGGCTTCGTCCCGCTCTGCTTGTTAGGAACATTTGGTCTTGCATTACCAAGCCCCTTAGAAGGTCTTGTTTCATCGGCAGACCGCATGGTCTTATTCCTTTCATCTGGTCGGGGTTTAAACCAGCATTGCTTAGCTAAATGACCAGTCTTGGAACATACAAAGCATTTAACAACTCTCTTTGCATTTCCTCTCTGATGAGCAGCACTAACGCTGAGCACTGAAACGCTTTCAGTAAGATTCGACATCTCTCTTCTGTTTCCCTCGGCCTCTAGATAGGATACTGCATACTCAATAGTTAATTTGTCCACTCCTCTCAAATATGCAATTTCTGAATTAAAATCACTGGTTAATGAGCTCAAAATTGCACTAAGCACAGAATTCCCAGTGGGTGGATCACCCATGGCTTTTCATTCATCAAAGGTATTGAGAATTTTGTTCAGATGTGTACTGATTGATTCTCCCTTTTGCATTTTGCAATTGAACAAGCGCTGATGAAGAAAAATGCTGTTTGCCTTTGATTTAGCATTATATTTCTTATCTAGATGGGATATCATGTCCTTTGCAGTTTCACATGTTAAAAGTTTCTGATTATCACTAGCAAGGACGTTCCCAAGGATTAAAGCCTTTGCAAGCCCATCTTTCTCTGTAAATTCTTTCTTTTTGGCATCATCATCTGTGGGAGTCTGCTCAGATAAAACATGTAAGGCTGAGCGAGACTGCAAGATGCATTGTAAATTTCCTTTCCACCATCTATATTATTTTCAGATAGGACTGGGGTTCTATGAAAAGACATATCAGTGGAAGAAGCCATTCTACATTACCAAACTTCTTAGTCACTCGTCTGGGCAGCTTTGGGTTCAGCGGAGTTTCCCTTCTTTGATCTTCCTCGTCTCTCCCGGCTGTGAATTCAGCCCTCAGGG